GCCTGCAAAGCCACCGACCTGCCCACGTTTCACAGCAGCCCAGGCTGCCCAGGGCCCCATCCAGCCTGGCCTCCAACCCCTCCAGCGATGGACGGGGCATCGCAGCCTCTCTGGGCAGCTGTTCAGCCCCTCACCGCTCTCCCAGCACACAACTTCCCTGACCCCCAGCCTCCAGCTGCCCTCCCTCCGCTTCCAACCATTTCCCCTCGTCCTGCTGATGCTCCCAACACCTCTTCATCTTTCTAGATGATTCTTTAGGTAATGGGGAGGTGGAGGGGTGGAAATATTGCTTTGGGTTCAGACTATGTGTGTGACACCACTGCTCTGACATCTGCTGACTGAGATGTGTGGGGCTGACAGCAGTGCCTGGGCTCTGCATTCTGGAATCAGAATGTACCAACCTGCCACAGCAACCATAGAATCACAGACTGGCCTGGGATCACAATGACCATCAGTTCCAACCCCCTGCTGTGTGCAACATTGGACCCATAGGGACCCACAGATTCCCTTAGAGCCCCACAGATCCCCCAATGGGGCCCACGGGGACACATAGAGACCCACTGAGATTCACACAGACCCACAGAATCACAGACTGGCCTGGGTTGCAAAGGACCACAGTGACCATTAGCTCCAACCCTGCTGTGTGCAGGTCTCCAACCAGCAGCCCAGGCTGCCCAGAGCCACATCCAGCCTGGCCTCCAATGCCTGCAGGGCTGGGGCATCCACAGCCTCCTTGGGCAACCTGTGCCAGTGCCTCACCGCCCTCTGGATGGAAAACTTCCTCCTCATATCCAACCTCAACCTCCCAGTCTCACTTTACACCCATTCCCCCTTGTCCCATCCCCATCCACCCTCACAAACAGCCGTTCCCCTCCTGTTTATCTGCTCCCTTCAAGCACTGGAAGGCCACAATGCGGTCTCCCCACAGCCTCCTGGGTTGCCCCAGCCCCGCTGCTGCAGCACTTGGCCTTATTGAACCCCAGCATACAGAGCTGCAGCGGCCCCACGCAGCCCCTCGACCTCCCTGTGTTGTGTTTGCAGGAGAATTACGGCCGTAAGGAGCCCGAGAAGGTGGCAAAGGTGAAGGAACTCTATGAGACCGTGGGGATGAGGGCTGCGTTCCAGCAATACGAGGAGAGCAGCTACCGGCGCCTGCAGGAGCTGATTGAGAAGCACTCGAACCGCCTCCCCAAGGAGATCTTCCTCGGTCTGGCACGGAAAATCTACAAACGCCAGAAATGAGGGACTGGGGCCGGCACTGTGCCCTGTGCCCTGCGCTCTGTGCTCTGCCTTGGGTGGTTTTGCAGCCCCGGACCCGGTGCTTCCCCCGTCCCGTTATCTCCGGGGTTGCGGGTCTCTCAGGCCCATCTCGGTGCCGTCGATCTGTGTGTCAATAAACGTAATTTATTGCTGTTCTGCCTCTTCTGGTCGTGATGACGATGCGGCGCTGAGGGCGGATCGTTCCCCCCACCCCCGTCCACCCGCCCCCCTCCCCCGACGAGGGCTGCGCTCAGCGGGGCGGGCGGTTCGGTTCGGCTCCTCCCTCCGCATTCAGAGCCCGGAGCCGCCGCAACGCGGAGCGGTGAGCGGGGCTGGAGGGAGCGGGGGGAGCTGGGGTTCCCTGCGGGTTCCGGGGCTGCGGGAGGGGTGGCCTCAGGGCCCTGGGGGGGGTTTGTTCCAAGGATGGGGCCCCGTGAGGGCACGAACCGCCCGCAGCGCTGCGCTGCAGCGTCGGGATGCTCGGAGCAATGCGGCACGCTGCGGTGATGGCTGCGGCCGGGGGTTCCTCCCGCGTGGTTCGGACCACTGCCCGGCGACGCTCTGTCCTCAGAGCCCTCCTGGGGCTCCTCTCCCGTGGCCGGTGGACGGCGGCGGCTCCGGTTGACGTTTCAAGGGCGTTTTCTCCTTGACGGCGCCTCGGAGCCGCTCCCTGCCTGCCGGAGCGATCCCGGCGCCGCGGCCCCGCACCCATCCCCGCTCGGTGCCTCCCAGATCAGCGGCCGCATCCCGGCTCCGTGTCGGTTCTCCTCCAGGTCTGCGCTGCTGTCAAGGCACGGAAAGGCCCTCGGCGTTGGGAGGAGCTGGATGGTGTGAGCCGAACCGCCGTGCGGCTCTGCGCGGAGCCCCGCTGCTCCCAGCAGGATCGGCGTCATGCTGGCTCCGAAGAAAGGGCTGCTGTGTAACCTCAACCACATCCACCTGCAGCACATCTCCCTGGGGCTGCACCTCTCCCGGCACCCGGAGCTTCAGGACACCGCGGGGCTCGGGGACCAGAAGTGCTGCAGCAGCTGTCAGGAGAGCTGTGAGCAAGTAGATGCCAATTCCAACAACCCCTCCTTGAAATGTCACTGCTGCGAATCCCACGCCGAGCTGCCCGTGACGCTGGGCCTGCAGGACCAGGCGGCTCCGGAGGATTTCCCCCACCTGCAGGATGGGGAGGAGGTGGTTTCCCCCTCTGATCCGCCTTCCACCTCCTCCTCGGTCAGCAGCTGCTCGGATTTCAGCCTGGACGAGTCGCCGGTGTCTGTGTACTACAGAGGGTTCTCAGCAGAAAGGTCCCAATCCCCTACAGAGCCGCCCAGCGCAGCTCCTGCAGAAGATGCAGAGCTGCTGCCTGGGGCAGGTGATGGAAGAGACGCCAACCTCAACCCAGCAGCGCTCCAGGGAGAGGAGGACCTCATTGGAGAGAGCCCCGACAGCCTCTGCAGCAGCAGCTCGCTCGACTCACAGTACAATGAAGCCTCTCCCAGTGCGGCCGTGCAGCAGATCACAGCCAGCTCCATCGACCTCGACCCCAACTGCAACCCCCTGCCCGACCCCAGTGTTGCACCACCGGCACCAGCTGTGCCGTGCAGCTGGGAGCAGAACCTGAGCAGCGCTCCCAAACCACGGCTGAGCAGCGTTCCTCCTCCCATCCCACCGCGGCCCAAGAGGCGGCTGCAGCTCCTCAATGGGCACGGAGCAGAACGGCCCGCCCTGCCCGCGAGGCCCGCAGCACCCGAGCCCGGCGCTGAGCTCTGCAGAGACGCAGCCAAGAAGAACATCACCTCCTTCCATGAGCTCGCCCAGAAGAGGAAGAAGAACACCGTCGGGACCGCTCCCATCCCAGCCAGGGTGGATCGAAGCGACTGGCTGATCGTTTTCTCACCTGACACCGAGCTGCCGCCCCACAGCGAGCTCCTGCCCAGCACTGCGAGCCGGGAGCCAACGCAGCCCCAGCAGGACTGGGGGGTGAAGCCTTCCAGCTCCGTGCAGAGGGAGATCACCACGTTCAAGGAGCTGCGCTACCGCAGTGCCTCCAACAAACCCAAACCGCCGGCCCCGCAGCGCCCACCCGCACCCCCGGGGGGCTCGAGTGGCTCCAGCTGGGTGTCACCTGCGGTGCTGGGGGGGCGGCTGCCAGCACCCCCTGAGAACCACCAGGCGCGGAGGAGACCCCGACCCTCCCTGCAGCCCATCGCGGAGGGACGGCCGCGGGATGCAGAGCTGCCCACGCAGAGCCGCCCTGGGGAGCGCTTTGACTGCGACACCCGGACCTGGAGGAGTGGGGGGTCCGGTGGGGACCCCCGGGGGTCGGGAGAGGCTGAGCACGGAGAGGAGACGCATCAGGAGGGTAAGAGCCACAGCCAGCCCTGGGGGTACGGGGTGCCTGTTTCTGGGGCATTGAGCCACGGCTGCAGGTGGGTGGGAGAACTCTGGGACACGGGGGGCTGCAGGGCCGGGGCTTTGCACAGGGTGATGTTCGGGTCGGTACAACGCCTCGTGTCACTGCTCCGTTGCTCCGCGCCGGACGGGGCCGAGCCGCTCTCATTTCCCCGTCCCTCAGCTCTGCGGCAGCGGCTGCTCGGGAAGCAGAGGCGGTGCGCGGGGTCTGGGGCTGCCCTCCCCCTTCCTCCCGTCCTCCATTCTCCCCCGTTCCTCTCCCCGTCCGACCCGCAGGGAAATGCCCTGGGCGGGCCCCGAGCGCCGCCGGGCCCGGCCCTGCCCTCCCCGCTCCCCTCCGCCCTTCCCCTCCCCGCGGTCTCCGGCTCCATGAGCGAGCTGCCCCCGCCCGGCCCCGGCCCCGCTTCCCGGCGCGGTGGGTGCCCCATCGGACCGCCGCAGCCCCGCGCCCTCCCTGAAGCCCCGGCCCTTCCCGCAGCCCGCCCTTCCCCACCCGCCGCCGGAGCTCCGGGCGCAGCGCAGCCCCACGGGAACGGCCCGGAAGGACGGCGGGGTGCTCTGGCAGAGCAGAAGAAAGGTAACGGGGCCCTGCGGGGCGGAGGGCTGGGAGGGGCGGATGGGCGGAGCTGCGGGGCCGCAGAGGGGCAGCTCCTGCGGCCTACGGGCAGCCCTTGAGGCCTTACGGGCTCCTCCGGAAGCCTACGGACACCCCTGAGGCCTGCAGGAGCCCCTCGAGGCCTGCGGGCCCCTCTTGAGGCCTGCAGGCTCCTCCTGAGGCCTACAGGCACTCCTTGAGGCCTGGGGTCACCTTCTGAAGCCTATGGGCCCCTCCTGAGCTTTGTGGGTATCTCCTGGGGCCTACAGGCACCCCATAAGGCCTATAGGCACCCCTTGAGGCCTACGGACCCCTCCTGCAGCCTACAGGCTCCTCCTGAGGCCTACAGGCGCCCCTTGAGGCCTAGGGGTACCTCCTGAAGCCTGTGGGCCCCTCCTGAGCCCTGTGGGTATCTCCTGGGGCCTATAGGCCCCCCCTTGAGGCCTGCAGGCACTTCCTGAGAAACACGGGCACCTCCTGTAGCCTACAGGCATCTCCTGTGACCCCTTGGGCACCTCCTGAGACCTATGAGAACCTCAGTGCAGCCTGTGCCCCTTCCCCCTGCCTTAATCACAGCCCCCTTGCAGCCCTGAGGAGCTGCAGGGCCCCACAGGGACACCCCGCACTCCCCCAAGGTCTGTCCGGGCCGGGGGTGGGTTGGGGTGTGTCTGATTGCATTGACATTTTCCTTCCTGTCAGCTCTGCTGATTGCTGTCAGCACCGCTGTGGACAAAGTCATCGCCCACTTCAGCTCCGCACGGAACCTGGTGCAAAAGGTGAGGGCCCAGCTTGGGTGGGTGGAAGGGAAGAGGGGCTCTGGGGGCTTTGGCAGTGGCTCTGTGTTTTATCGTACCCTAGTTCCCCATCTCTGGAGTTCAGAAGGAGCTCTGCGGGAAGGATCCCATTATCTCCTCCCTCCCTTCTCTCCCTGTCTCTACACACTGCTGCCTCTTGCCTTCAGGCTCAGCTGGGGGACAGCTGGCTCAGCCCTGACGTGGGCTACCTGCTGCTGCACACCCTGTGCCCTGCGCTCTATGGTCTGGTGGAGGACGGGCTGAAGCCCTACCAGAAGGATGTCATCACAGGACAGAGGAGGAACTCACCCTGGAGTGTGGTGGAAGCCTCCGTGAAGACAGGTGGGTGTGGGGAGACGTTGGGACGAGCACCTCTGAGCCCTTTTCCTGCCTGGCCACTGGCTGGGGAGGGTTTGTACCCAGAGCAGTGATTCTCTGCATGCTTTGTATCACGCAGGCCCCAACGCCCGCTCTCTCCACAACCTGTGCTGGCGTGTGGCTGGGCTGGCCCCTCTCAGCAGCACCAGGCAGAAGTTTCATGCTTTTATCCTTGGCCTTTTGAAGTGAGTGCTGGCCCAGGCTGCCCCTGCTGTGACGGGAGGCTGGAGCGGAGTCCTGGGAACTCTAACTTGGGTTTCTTTTACTTTGTCCAGTACGAAGCAGCTGGAGCAGTGGGTCTCACACCTGCAGAATAGCCCAGGTAGGACGCAATGCCTCCCACCACGTCACGAGACCCTTGGGGTGTTTGTAGAGGCAGGGTGATACCCCCCATACCCGTTCCACACACAAAGCTTGGCCAGGACTTCCACAGTGGACAAGGGCCTTGATTTCCATGGCTGTCCTACTGGATGAGGGCGATCGGGGCGACCAGTTTGGAAGCGGTGAAACCCCCTTTGACCTGCTGGCATGGGAGGGTTCTTTGGGTAAGGGATGGGGACGTTTTCCAGCCCTACAGCGCCGTCCATATTTTGCAGGTGTCATCTCCGTGCTGTATTTTCCTACGGCTTTCTTTGCTCTGAGCCAAGGCCCTCTCCCCCACCTCGCTGACGAACTGCTGCTGCTCCTCCAGCCCCTCTCGGTGCTGACCTTCCACCTCGACCTGCTCTTTGAGCACCATCACCTCTCTGTGGACATAAGGCCTTTGTCACGGCGGATGGAGTCACCCCCATCTCCTGCCCATCGCTTTGCTCAGGGGGCTTCGCAGCCACTGGAGGGCCAAAGCGGCGCCGCGGGGGCCAGCCTGGAAGACGAGCTGCCTCCCGATACTCTGGGGAGGGCACCTGCAGCAGAGGAGAGCCCACGCTCCCACTGCCAAGCAGCTGTGCACAGCGCGCTGCCCGGCCCGCAGGTGGGGGCTGCCCTGCAGCAGACCTTCCAGCACGTGCTGCGTTGGGGCGACCAGCTCAGCCGTGCTTTCCTGGGAGCTGACAGCTTCCCGGGGGCAGTCAGGCCTGAGGCAGGCCCTTGGGATACAAGGGCTGGCCCCAGCAGCTGGTGGGCCCAGCTGAGCCAGGCCTCCAGAATTTACACTGCTCCCAGCAAGGAAAGATTCCCCTTCGTCTGGTGGACAAAGCTGCGGACGGCTGCGGGGGATTCCAGCCCTGGCCAGGCGGCTCGACCCCAAACCCCTCCAAGAGAGCCTAAAGGCACTGAGCTGCAGCTGCTTCAGACCAAAGCTATCCCTGAACTCTCCAGTCCCAACTCCAGCAGCAGTGCTGACACCTCCTCCCCCGAAGACCTCGTCCTGCTCGCTGGAGCCGGTCCAGCTGCTGGAGAGAAACCTCCGGCTGCTTCTCCACAGCCTGGTGCAAGCAGGAGCCAGGCTGCACCTCTTGACCCAGGGGCCTGCAGTCCTGGCCCCGACAGGGGCAGCTGGCTGGGCCGACTCTTTGGAGCCAGCAGCCCCTCTGCCAGGAGCTCCCCTTCCAGCCCTGACGCCATCTCAGTGAGATCCAGGTGAGACCCAGTGGGGCAGGCGGGGGTGGGGAGCAGCAGGAGCTCATGGTTGGTGCTCAGCGGTGTTATCGCGGTCCTCCCCAGCTCCCACATCACCAGAACAAAGCTTGTTGGCCTGACAAGCATGCTTGGCCTGTGCACACGCCACGGCATCGACTCCGGGCTGCAGTCAGGAGCAAAATTTCAGTGTCCCATCACTGCACAGTGCCTCGTCCCATCCAACTGCATACACACGCACTCACAGCCCCAGCAACTCGCTGGCTCGTGGTCTTTTCCATACGGTGGCTGTAGGCTGGGTAGGAAAGGCATTCCCAAACGAGCTTGTGGCTTCCTTTGCTTTGTGCAGGAGACCCTCCAGCTGGCTGGCGCCCAGCTCCCGTGTCCTGGCCGTGGTGGTGAAGGGGCTGGCCGAGAAGAGCCGTGCTCCAGAACAGCCTGAGAAGCAGCTGCCTGATTCACCGCAGTCCCACAGGTGATGCAGGGCTCTGCCTGGGGCTGAAAGAACGGCTGGTGGGTGGTGGGTTGTGGTTTTTTTTGGGGGGGGTCCCTGGGGCACAGATCTGCAGCGGTGTTTGTTGCGCAGAGCGGTCCGGGCGCTGTGTGACCACACCGGTGCCGCTGACGGTCACCTGAGCTTCCAAAAAGGGGACGTTCTGCAGCTGCTCTCCACCGTGGATGAAGATTGGATCCGTTGCTGCCATGGAAACAGCACTGGCCTCGTTCCTGTGAGCTACACGTCTCTGATTTTGTGAGGAGGAGATGTGAGGAAGCAGCTGAGCTTGCAGCAGCGCCATCCCTGCCCCATCTCCACCACCTCCAGGCCTGGATGCTCTGCAGGGCTCCTTGCTGCAGTGCCGGCCCGCTGCTCCTTGCAGTCGCCTCCTGCGGCTGTTGTCACAGCCCTGCTGCCACCTCACCACAGCCCCTCGTCGGGATCTGCTCTTGTTCGTGTTCCCTCAGCTGCTGCCCACGTGTGAGGGCCACCGGGGTCCCCATCCCCGTGCATTACTCTCAGTCCCACGCGCTGTCCCTGTGCCCCATCGCTGCCACCACGTGCCCCGCTGTGCCGCAGGGCTGCTGACCCAGGCCGGCCCCAAGCACCCCGCGCCGTCCCAACGCCCTGTAAATAGTTGTAACCACGGGAAGATGCTCATTCTGGGGGAAATAAAGGCTGTGACTCTGTGTGCTCGGGTGCTGCAGTCAGTGCGGGCACGGGGCTGGGAAAAGCTCCAAAGGTTGGCTGTGTTTGAAGCTCTGCTGTCTGTGGGTTTGTTCTGCTGCTGGTCCCCACGTGCAGCTGGGCTGCTCAGGTGAAGCCCTTCCTTCCCTGTGCATTGTGAGCAGAGGGTTCCGTGCTTTGCTCCGGGTCAAACCTGGTGCTGTTCTGAGGGAGGGGATTTCAGGGTTTTCTCCTGACTTGGGGATTTGCACCCAACTGTGTGGGGCTCCCCGGTCCGTGGATATGCTGGAGAGTCCAACAGTGGCATGAGGGAGATTGCAGTGCAGGGGATCCCAGCCCAGGCCCACAGCCCTGACCAGGCTCTGCTCCCTGCTCCCAGCACATTCAGCAGCCCCGTTCCATTCCGGTGGCAGATGAGCCATCGCTGAGCACACAAGCAGCATCCTGCTTTGAGGATAAAGCCGATCTGTTTTTATTCTGTTCTCATTTTCATTTATCTCTCTGGAATTTTGGCTTTTAGATGAGGGATGCTGCATCTTAATTGGAATGTTATCTGGATTGCCCTAAGTAGGTTTGATTGAATGCCACGACCGCCTCTGGACTTTGAAATGAGGTCAAAGCAGCAGGAGATTAATCCAGGTACTTTTTCCATTACTGTTTTTTAAAGCACTAAATCTATGGCATGGTACCTGCGGTTTAAAAGAGACAGTGCAAGGGTATGGGCCAAGCACGGCATTTTAACAACGCCACAGAGGCCAGGAAATGGAAAGAAAACCTGATTTACATCAGAACGAATCCTCAACATGCCATTGAATTCCTCCAAAAAACATTTTATCCCCAGAAATTACTTTTGAACCATAGCAAGTCCCTAAAGGAGGATTTGTGAGGACCGAGGCCCCTTGGTGCCAGCAGTGTCAGGGAGTGCAGGGCTGCAGATGCCTCCAAGGACCCCAAGGAAGGATGCAGGGCTCCCCATCCCCATCTCTCTGCTGCTGCACTCTGTGCTCCACGTGGCCAAGCAGCACATCGAAGAAACACAGCATGGTTTGGGTTGGGAGCTCAGGGATGGCGAAGCTGCGACCCCACAGCGCCTGCAAAGCCACCGACCTGCCCACGTTTCACAGCAGCCCAGGCTGCCCAGGGCCCCATCCAGCCTGGCCTCCAACCCCTCCAGCGATGGACGGGGCATCGCAGCCTCTCTGGGCAGCTGTTCAGCCCCTCACCGCTCTCCCAGCACACAACTTCCCTGACCCCCAGCCTCCAGCTGCCCTCCCTCCGCTTCCAACCATTTCCCCTCGTCCTGCTGATGCTCCCAACACCTCTTCATCTTTCTAGATGATTCTTTAGGTAATGGGGAGGTGGAGGGGTGGAAATATTGCTTTGGGTTCAGACTATGTGTGTGACACCACTGCTCTGACATCTGCTGACTGAGATGTGTGGGGCTGACAGCAGTGCCTGGGCTCTGCATTCTGGAATCAGAATGTACCAACCTGCCACAGCAACCATAGAATCACAGACTGGCCTGGGATCACAATGACCATCAGTTCCAACCCCCTGCTGTGTGCAACATTGGACCCATAGGGACCCACAGATTCCCTTAGAGCCCCACAGATCCCCCAATGGGGCCCACGGGGACACATAGAGACCCACTGAGATTCACACAGACCCACAGAATCACAGACTGGCCTGGGTTGCAAAGGACCACAGTGACCATTAGCTCCAACCCTGCTGTGTGCAGGTCTCCAACCAGCAGCCCAGGCTGCCCAGAGCCACATCCAGCCTGGCCTCCAATGCCTGCAGGGCTGGGGCATCCACAGCCTCCTTGGGCAACCTGTGCCAGTGCCTCACC